CCCCTCACCTACCTCGGGGCGCTGCGCCAGCCCCGGGCTGCACCCGGTTCCAGCACCCTACGGGTCTCAAGCCCCAGCCCCAGGGGCACCTGGCCGAGCTGAGGCCTGTCCGACCGCCCCGCCAGCCCCGTTCGGGCCCGCGTCAGTCCCGGCCTCCATCTTAGGTTACAGCCCGGGTTCCCCATCCACTGGGCACCTGCACTCAGCCCGCTCGGCTCGGCCCGAGGCCAAGGCAACCCCCCTTCTACCGCGGGGCTCACCTGGGGGCTTGGGCTGGGGTCTTCGAAGCCTCAGGCCCCGAGCAGGCGCGGTCGCAGGTGAACCCCCTGCCCGGCCGCACCCCAAGCCCACACCACCACCACCACCACAGACCAAGCTGAGCAGGAAACAAAATGGAGGCAGCAGCTCGGGTCTGCCTCCCCGAGCCAAGCCTGTGCAGCCCCAGGGCTCCCTCCAGCCGCAGGCCCGACGCCCGCGAGGCAGGGGGCTGGCTCGTCCCGGGCACCAAAGGCAGCAGCCCTAGAGCAGCGCAGACAGGCCGGGGACTCGGCCCTGCGGTCCCCACAGCCCCTCACCCACCACCCCTTCCCTTCCCCCTCCCCCGCATCCCTCTCCCTCCCCCTGCCCGGCCGTGCGGGGTGAGCGGCTCCCGGGAGCCGGGTCGGGTCGGGTTACCCGCCTGGGCACTGCCCGCCCGGCCGTGGCCTCGGCAGGGGGATGAGGCCCGGCGACCCCCGCGCTGAGCCCACCCCCCCACACCCGAGCCGGGCAGCAGCAGCCTGACAGCGCGCCCGCACCTCGGCCTGCTGCCGTGCGGCCCCCGCCCAGTGAGGCCGAGTCCCCGGCCCGGGCACCGCCGGGACGAAGCTCCCTCACCACCACCCCCGGGCCCAGGGGTCCTCGCTGCCTCGGGCGGGGCGAGGGGAGCGCTGGGGGAGGGGTCCACTAATCCCTGCACCGCCTCCCGCGCCTAGTCCGGGTCTGGGCCTGGCACCGGGACTCCGGCCCGGGGCACGGGCGGGCGTCGGTAGGTGCGTGCGCGCCAAGCAGGGGACGCGGGCTGGGGGCCCGGAGGGGCCGCGCCTCGCACCGTGGACGCTGCAGTTCTCTGCACCCAGGCAGATGGCCCTCTCGTGCCACCTCCGCCCGGCGCAGGCCTCCTGCTCCGCAGTCCTGCTCCCGGGGGAGCGCGCGCCTCGCCCCTGCGGGCCAGGCATCGGGACCCCGGCGGAACAGCTCTGGGAGGGCGGACCGCGGGGCTGGCCCCGCCAAGCCTGCTGGCCTCATCCCTAGCCTGGGACGCTCTGCTCTCAGGCGCCTGGCACCTCGAGGCCTGCACCCAGCGCCCGGGGCCCCACAGGACCGGCCTTAGAACGGCTGCAGCGTGTCCAATCACCAAAGACAGGGCAAGGGCACGTGGGAACCCGAACCCAGCCTGACCCGCGACTCTAGCCCCCCAGGCCCTTCCCCCAACCCGATCCAACCCCATCGCCCCTGGGCTTGCTCCCCGACAAATAGCTCACCTCGGGACCTATCTGGTCCCTAGCGCGCTAAGCGCATCCTCGCTATTCAGAGAAAACCACAATCGACCGCCATAAAAATTCCGCCTCCTCCAGAAAGCCTTCAGTGATTAGAGCTCACTCCATCTCAAAGCTGAGGGCGCCGCCCTCGAGAGCCACGTGACTACCATTCCTCCCAGGGCTTAGTAAATGTGCATAATTATTGCCCCAGTGGAGAATTTACCCGCTGCCCTTCTATCAGTTAACCATAAGCCCACCTGGAAGAAAGGCCACTTTCGGCGTTGCCCCGCGCGGTATTGGCTTTGGCGTGAGGCTCTCTAAACTCCCTCCTTCAGCCTTCCCCAACCTCTGGATGAAGACCCCGAAACTAGCCCCGGCAGGCTTGGAGCTCAGGATGCCTCCTGCTCTCCAAGGCCCACAGACCAAAGAGACAAGCCAAGGAGATGCACAAGAAAACAGGACCTTACCACATCTAAGTGCTGAGATGCACGCTCTACCAAGACAGCAAGCAGGCTTTCTCGGAGGGGAGGTGCCCCCTGGAAGCAGAGTGAGGAGGTGGGCACAGACCCCAGAGAGCCTCCTGTTGAAGAGAATGTGGTACCCCGAACTGTTCCCAGGGGCAAAATCAGGTTGGCAGTGTTCTGTGTGCTAGGACCAGCCAGAGAAGAGCCGGGTCTACACCCCAGGGTCCCGCCCTAAAGGGACCCGCCCTTTGTTCTGCTAAGGAGTGACTCCTGCTAATCCCTTCTAGGCAGTTCAGTGGGGGAGCTCTGACTGGTTCCTTCTTCACACCTAATAGTTTGAGCGAATGTTTTCTGACTGAAAATTACCCCCTGCCCATTGCCCCACGTCATCCAGGTTACTCTCAACCTTTTACTTTCCCAGGACCATTATGAGGGCTGCCACTGCATGACCTTGATCCAATCGTTTAACAGCCCCAAACCTCAGTTTCCTCACCTGTGATTTCCACTGCACAGGGGACTGCGAGGATCCTGCAAGGAAAAGGTAAGTGTTAGGGGCCTGTACAGACAAAGCACTTGATGAACGCTGAAATGCATTTCTTTGCTTCCTTCAGCAACCATTTCCTGCATTCCAGGCAGTATTGCTGGGTGATGGGGAAACAAAGGATGAGATGCCTGCCTTAGGAAGCCCTAGGCCTCAAGAAAAGACTATTTCATAAAGATGAAGTGGGGCAGGGACAATGGGTCCTCCCAGAGCTGACCTCTGGACATCACTGTCCTGCAGGAAGCCCTCTCTCCAACCTACCAGGCCCTGTGCAATAGGAGAAGGGGCTAACGGGGGACAGGCTGCTGGAAATGAACAGCTTACTGACAGGTCTGGGGGAGAAGAAAGGAATTCCAGGGAAAACCTCTTGGACTTTCCTGAAGTGACCTCAGGGGTCCCTTCCTGCCTCTTAGAGTAGAATTTGGCTGCAGAGATCTCGTTCACAGCAGCCCTCTCTGGAGCCTCCCCATCCATCAGGCCCTGGCCAAGCACCTCTTGTGTGTTGTAATAGCAGTGGGCTGCGGGGGCCATGTTCTCACAAGGACACTGGCTCCTGAAGGCGGGAAGAAGGGAGAGGGCTGTGGCCTGCCCTCCTTGTCTGGACCTGTGCCTCCCATCCTTAAGACAGAACCGATAAATATGTGCCAAGTCTCTGCTGTGTACCAGGCACCATGCTGGGCACTTGACCTGCGTTAATTCTTTTAACCCTTGAGCGGTCCTGTGAAGAATGAGGTCCAAAAGATTCAGCCCTTCCGAAAGGTCTCAAAGCCCTGTCACCTGGTGTGATCAGTTTCACACCCTCTGCTCTTAGCCTGCAGCACACCTTCCATTTACTTCCAGACACTATGAGAAGGCCCAGCACACATCTTGCCCACAGATGCTCAGGAATTTGAGTGTTAGGCAAAGTGAGATTACCTTAGCTTCAGTTTCCTCATCTGTAAATCACCCTTACTGATGGCTCCTACCCTGCTGAGAGATACCTGGGGAGACATTTGGCCAGTGTACAGTGACTCTTTTTTTCTTGAAACTGCCCTGTCTCTCATTTATTAACTCAGCAGACATTTACTGAGCACCCCCTCAGAACCTTGTGGGAAAGACAGAGAAGTAGTAACAAAGTCGAGGGCTGAGCACAGAGAGAGAAACCAGAGGTGCTGGGGGAGCTGGGGAGGCCTCAGAGACAGTCAGGGAAGGCCTTCCATGGAAGTGACATCCAGGAGTCCAGAAGGGTACACAGGAATAGCCTATAGAGGAGGCAGAGGTTCCAGCGGAAGAGCTCAGGGAAATATTGGGCTTTGGAAGAACTGACCAGTGTGGCCAGAGGCTAGTGCGTGGTGGGAGTGGTGGAGGTGATGGGCGCAGTAAGAGACCTCAGATGAAGATGGAAGATGGGGAAAGCCACAGAGGCCTGGTGGTGCAGGGCCTTGCTGGCCAAGTTAAAGAATTTAGGCTTTATCTGGAGGGCAGCAAGGAGCCATGTAAGGTTAAGGAGCAGGTTAAGAATCCCATCTGTGCAGTAGAAAGCTCACTCTGCCAGTAGTGTCCAGAAGAGATTGTTACCTCCTCTGGAAACACAAGGGCCTTGCCTTGGGACATGCTAGGACTGTCTTGTTCCAGTAAGAGTGGTGGCTTCTCCTCTTCTGTCCCAGCTACTCTGCATGACACCCTCTCATTTAATAGTGCCCTCTCATGGGCACTATTGATATCCACATCTTCCAGACAGGAAATGTGACCTGCTCAGAGCCAAACTCCCAGCCCCAACACCCAGTTCATGCTCTTCATCCTCACTGGACAGGAGCAGTACCTGCTTTCTGATGAAACAGCCAGGTTTGGGGGGCGGTACGGAGGCCTTTGGCCATCAGTCCTAAACGCTGCTGGCGAACACCCCAGCCATCCCTTGTGATGGATCCAGGAGTTATTTCCTTCCTTTCCCACGCACTGGTTCCCCAGAACTGGATCAGGCTTCCACTTAAGATCAACGAAGTTTTGGCCATATCTGAAGCCATACAGCTCTCCAGCAATTTCCTTCCTGCACATAATACCAGGTTTCTGCAGCTAACCTGGCCCTGAAGCCCCAGCCCCAAGGACTCAAGCTTTGCCTTCAAGTGTTCTTTCTCTCAATTATTGTCTTTTGAAATCCCCGTGTATAGGGGCCACCAGTCCCTGCCCTTCTGCCCTCATCACGTCCCCGGCTTCCCAGTGTCCTCACTGTGCCAGGACAGGCCACATTCCATCCAGCTGTGCTCATGCTAGCCCCTATGTCTTTCTCCCTAACTGTCATGCAAACTCCTACTCATCCTTCAGACCCAGTTTAGAAGATCCCTCCTCCTCCCAAGTCTTCCCTGATCCCATCCCTGCAGGCATTTTTTCCCTGAATGAGCTCCTGCAGTAACTATGGACCTTCCAGATCTGGTCCCAGCCAGTTGGTGAGCCCCTTACAACAAGACACAGGGCATTTACTTCTCTGACCTCCAGTGACAAGCCCAGGACTGTGAGGCTTGGAGTAAGTGCTGGGGAAACACTTCCTGATGCCTGATCTACCCCCTCGACTCATCTCCAAGTCTCTGTCTCCAACAGACAAAAGAATTATGGCTTCATATGGTCCAAATGGGTTGCATAAAACTCAAACCCTCCCTAAAAGGATTCAGGGATGTTTGGGGAACACACAGGCCTCTGTCCCAGACAACACTTTCAGAAAGTTTAAGAGAGCCTATAGGATCTACAGTCAGATAGACATGGGTTCAGATTGTAGCCAGGACCACTTACCAGCAAGTCCCTTCCCCTGCCTGAAATTCACAAATGGGGTGGTTGTGTAGATTAAGTATGTGAATGTAGGCCTGGCCTGGCGCTAGGCCCCACACGAAGCAGTGCTCAGTAGATACCGCCTTTAGGATGTCACTAGCCTCCCCAACCCAACAGGTCAGCCTTCCCTCCCCAAACCCCAACCTCTCCTTCTCTGAGCGCTTGGTTTTTCAGATGCACCCTTAGCCTCCAGACAGTCACTTCTGAACGCATTGATTCCCAGGGGGAGGAGGGGGAAGTGGAAGACTGCTGGGCTCCAGGAGGGATGCAGTTAGAGGAAGGGGGAGCTCTGCAGCCTGTGGTCAGGAAAGTGGCTGTACCTTCTGCCTGCCTAAGGGTCACCCTTTACACCCGCCCATTGTCTCCCTGCAAAAATGAACATTATCCTGTTTTACAGATGAAAACAGAGGCTGAGAAAGAAGCAGTGGCTTGTAAAAGGTCCTGCTCTGGCAAGTGGTAGAATGGCTCAGAGTTTATACCCAGTAATTGCTCAATAAATACTAAAGGAGGTCAGGTAGATAAAGGCAGAGATGAGACACTGGGGTAAGAGTTTAGTAAAGTGGATGGTCTTCCAAATTTTTTGATCAAGTACCCCTTTAAAGAAATTCAAGAGAATATATATATGTATAACCTACTCACATTTGAAAAATTGGCACCTAATTTTAAGTCGTATATTATAAGTAATAGAATTTTTGGTGTACTATATATGTACTTTTTTTTTTTTAATGGAGGTAGTGGGAATTGAACCCAGGACCTGGCACATGCTAAGCATATGCCCTACCACTGACCTATATCCACCACACCCTATATGTTGCTTTAAATATAACTTAATCAAAACCTTGGGGCTGTGGCTTCAGCTCTATCAACTTATAGAAAACGTCTTTCCTGTGTCTAAAATTGCAAAACCAGGCCCCATCATCAAATCCCTAAGCCAACTCAGACAGATTTTTTTTTTAAATATAAGAATATGGAACACTTTACGAAAGTGTGTATCATCCTTGCACAGAGGCCATGTTAATCTTCTCTGGAGTGTTCCAATTTTAGTATGTGTGCTGCTGAAGTGAGCACTCAGACTGATTTTCAATTGCAAAAGATTTGATTCCATTTCTCAATTAAAACCAGCACGTTCACGTGCGTCCCCATGACAACCGTCCCCCTGCTGGGTTCTGATTCTAGGACTGACAGACAAGGCCAAAGCCTTGCCCTGAGTTTACTGGGTGAAGCAAGTCTTTCGGAAGTGCTAAGGGCTCTCCAGCACCCACTCTCCAGAGGTGCCCTGCCCAGGGAGATTCATCTGGGTAAGATGTGGCTTTTCTCTTCCGTGGGAAGCCATCTGACAGGAGAACTGGAGAGAAGTGTTTTTCTCAGGCAGATCAAGGATTTCAGAGGGAAGTTAAAGGTCTGGGAATTTGTACCCTTCACTCCAACCATGCTCAGATTAATCTGGAAAATCTTCACATCCCCCAGGGTGAAGACCTGGGGTAAAAACCATGATTGGAAAACATGTGGCTGTGTAGAACAGGAGGCAGGACTGTTGGAGAGGGCTAAGGAGGGAGGGCTTTTTCTAAAGACAGAAGAGACTCCATCTTGTGTAAACCATTCCACCTCAGGGCCTGTGTTCCTATGTCTGGAAGACTCTGCTCCCAGCTCTGCCGGGATTCTTTCCATCTACCAGCTAGAATCCCTCTTCAGACAGGCCCACCTGGCTCCTCCCTCACCTTGAGGACCCCTCATTGACCCCAGGGCACACTATCACATCTCCCTGCTTAAGTAACTTACAGCAATGACCGTCCTCTGAAATTGTCTGATTTTTCCTACTTATTTTCTTTTTATTGAGATATAACTCATATACCATAAAATTCACCCTTCTAAAATGTACAATCCAGTGGTTTTTAATACACTTACAAAGTTGTGCAGCCATCACCACTGTCTAATTCCAGAGCATTTCATCACCTAAAGAGAAGCCTTGAGCCCATTAGCAGTCACTCCCCTTACCCTCCCTCCCTCTAGGCCCTGCCAACCACTCATTACTCTCTGTCTCTATGGATTTGCCTGTTTTGGACATGTCATATAAACAGAATCATACAATATGTGCTCTTTTATGTCTGGTTTCTTTCACTGAGCATAAATTTTTCTGGGTTTATCCATGTAGCATGTATCAGTACCACATCCCTCTTTATGGCTAAATAATATTCCATTCTGTAGAGATGCCACATTTTGTTTATCATTTGGTATTTTGTGTATCAGTGATGTTTTCATTTTGGGGCCAATGTTGCTATGAACATTTGTGTACAAATTTTTGTGTGGACATCTATATTCTTTTATTTTGGGTATATATTTAGTGGAATTGTGGAATTGCTGAGTCATTTTTTGAAAAACTTTTTGAAGAATGTTACCAAATTGGCTGTACCATTTTACCTATCCATCAGCAATGTATGAGGGTTCCGATTTCGCCACATCTTTACCAACACTTGTTATTATCTGCCTTTTTGAGTATAGTCATCTTAGTGGGTATAGAATGGTAGCTCATGGTGGTTTTAACATGCCTTTCCCTAACAACTAGTGATGTTGAGCACATTTCCTTGTGTTTACTCGCCATTTGTATATCTTCTTTCAAGAAATGTCTATCCGAGGGGGAGGGTGTAGTGGTAGAGTGTTTGCTTAGCATGCACGAGGTCCTAGGTTCAAACTCCAGTACCTCCAGTAAAAAATATATTAAAAAATATATAAATAAACCTAATTACTCCCCCCTAATAAGTCTATCCAGATTCTTTGCATATGTTTTAAATTGGGTAATTTGTCTTTTTTGTTGTTGAGTTGTAAGGGTTCTTTATGTATTCTGGACACAAGTCCTTTGTGGATATGAGATTTACATATTTTTTTCCCATTCTGTGGGTAGTGTTTTCATTTGACAGTATCCTTTGGAAACAAAGCTTTTAATTTTGATGAAGCCCAATTTAATCTATTTTTTCTTTTGTTGCTGTGCTTTTGGTTATCTAAGAAACCACTGCTTAATCCTGGGTCATTAAAATGCACCCCTATGTTTCCTCCTAAGACTTTAACAGTTTTAGCCCTTACATTTAGGACTCTGATCCATTTTGAGTTAATTTACTGTAGCGTGAGACATCCAACTTCATTCTTTTGCATGTGGGTATCCAGTTGTCCCGACATCATTTTTTGAGACTGTCTTTCCCCATTGAATAATGATCTTGGCACCCTTGTCAAAAAATCAATTGACAAAAGAAGCATAGATTCATTTTTGAAATGTCAATCTATTCCACTGATCTGTTCCATTGATCTCAGTCTATTCCGTTGATCCATTGATCTGTCTTTATGCCTGTACTACACAGTCTTAATTGCCTGATTTTTTTTAGTCCACACCCCCATCTTTCTAGAATGGAAGTTCAGACTTGTTCACTGCTGTGTTCCCAATGCCTAGAACAAGGCCTGGTGCAGAGAAGATGCTTGATAAATATTTGTGGGTTTGAATGAATAAATCCTCGAATGAGTGCAATGCTTTTGGGAAGAACGCAATTGAGAGGGAAAGCTGAAGGTACAGTAATGAGAGGTCACTGAGGTCAAGGAGGTACAGGGTGTATGAAAGGGGTCATGGGTTGGGGGATGGGCCACAGAGCAGAGGAGAAAACCCCTTATCCTCTGAGACATGTAGGGAAAGGCAAGGAGAGGCCTGGCCTCAGCCATGTTTCAAGTGGGAAGGGAAGGAAGTTGAGAGAGGTCCCACCCAGTATCTCTGTTTTCTCCAGAGATAGGAAGTGAGAGGGAAGGGAGGGGCTTCAGGCTCAAGGAAGCTGAGGACAGCTGAGTGACCTTAGGGCCCATGTCCAAGGTTGGACCTAACCAGTGGGCACCCTCCACTCATGACTGGATCCCCTCTAGGGTTCTGGGGCAAAAAGGTTACCAGATGAAAGGTCAGGGGGTGAAGGGCTAGAGAGGGTGCATGTGAAGCCATGGCCTTGGAGCCCAGGCTGACAGAGACAGGAGAGAAGCCATAGCACAGGGCCCTGGACCACAGGCAACATTTCCTAAACCCTAAGAGCCAACCATGGCTGGACACACGCAGGACAGTGTGGAGTACTGAGGGAGGTCAGGCGGTGCTCCCTCCTGTGGGTGACTTCTCGAGGCTAAAAGTACCTGAGGCAGGTCACTGGGCCAGTGTGGTTGGAGTGGGGGCAAAGGCAAGCCATGAGGCCAGTTTAGGGGTGCAAGTGAGGCCCAGCTAAATGCACCTTGATGCCTGCCCACCTCAGTGAGCTTGGCTGTTCTCTGGACTTGCTGTCTACACATTGTTGTCGGCAGATTTGCAATATTCTTGAGTCTTCAGAAGGTCTTGGAATGTACTCTTTTTTTTTCTCTCTTAATTCCTTATTTTTTAATTTTAGACTTATGTAAAGAGCCCTTTTAGATCTACTTACTCATAGTTTTCAAAATATCATATATCATTTTTGTGTACTCATAAAACAAAAAATAGAAATGCAATAAAATGATTAAGATATTCTTAAAACTTCTTTACATTTGAATGTAGACTACTGAGTCACTTTTTGGTTCACAATTGTGGATGTCCATGTTAATTTGCTCAGTATTGTTCTCCGAGCCGAGCCATCAAGGTCATTTGCGATGGGGCCTTTCTTAACAGTGCTCTGCTATTGTCCCCCGGATTATACTTCAAACCACTGACACCCATTCTTTAATGTGGATACCTTCTTATTTGATGAAGCTCATATTTTTTTTCAACAGAATGTTGAATAGGATTTTTTTTTTCAAATAGGAAGTTCTTCAAACATTCTTTTAAGAATTTGACTTTTCTGGTTTTTAACAGTATCTCAGATTGAACTCATAGCTTTCTATTTTTTTTTCCCCTCAAGGCTCAGTTCTTGGAAGATATTCTTGAAGAATATAAAGGGCATGAATGTAATATTAGATACTAAGTCATTGTTATAAGGGGTTGAATTTAAATTCTGTAAGTCAAAATTGAAGGGGTGTTATTAAGTGTGCTTTTATTTTGCATGAAAATAAAAAGAATTATACATAAAAAATATTTAAAAGAAAGAGGAAATATTAAGAGACCAATGATTGAAAGTTGGTGACAGGGAGAGAGGAGAATTTTAAGAAGACATTAGGAGCAGACTGTGAAGTACTCTGAGTCACTGGTATTTAATTCTGCTGTCATGGGGAGTGCCACAGTCAGATACAACATTGAAAAAGATGACCCTGGAACTATGTGGAGGGAGAAAGTGGAGGCAGGGAGACCCGGGAAGGTGCTGAGACCACGAAGCAGGAGGAAGCTGTGACCTGGACCAGAGCAGTGGCAGGGAAATGGGGATAAAGAATGGACGCCCCAGTGGATGAGTGGTGGAGTCCGGCCTGGCGGCGGCAATGGACCATTTCATGTGGACCAGCGGCCTCCTGGAGATCAACGAGACCCTGGTGATCCAGCAGCGCGGGGTGTGCATCTATGACAGTGAGGAGAAGATAAAATTTGATGCCGGGACCCTCATTCTTAGTACCCACAGACTGACTTGGAGAGATCAGAAAAATCATGAATGCTGCATGGCCATTCCTCTTTCCCAAATTGTGTTCATTGAAAAACAGGCAGCTGGAATTGGGAAAAGTACCAAAATAGTGGTCCATCTTCACCCAGCTGCTAACAAAGAACCTGGTCCATTCCACAGTAGTAAGAACTCCTACATCAAGCTCTCCTTCAAAGAACATGGTCAGATTGAGTTTTATAGGCGATTATCAGAGGAAATGACACAGACAAGATGGGAGAATATGCCAGTTTCCCAGTCATTACAAACAAAAAGAGGACCCAGCCAGGAAGAATAAGAGTGGTAGGAATTGTAGGTATTGAAAGGAAACTGGAAGAAAAAAGAAAAGAGACTGACAAAAACATTTCTGAGGCCTTTGAAGACCTCAGCAAACTGATGATGAAGGCTAAGGAAATGGTGGAGTTATCAAAATCAATTGCTAATAAGATGAAAGACAAGCAAAGTGATATCACAGAAGCTGAGAGCATCAGGTTTAAATCCTATTTGCTTAGCATGGGCGTAGCTAACCCGGTTACCAGGGAAACCTACGTCTTGGGGCACACAGTACCACATGCAGCTGGCCAAACAGCTGGCTGGAATATTGCAGGCGTGGTTAGAGGAACGAGGGGGAATAGTGTCGCTCATGGAAGTGTACTGTTTAGTAAACCGAGCCTGAGGAATGGAATTGCTCTCACTGGAAGATTTGGTGAGTGCATGCAAGATGCTGGCAGCACCGAAGTTACCTCTCAGGCTCCGAGTGTTTGACAATGGTGTCACAGTCACTGGACTCCAGTCCCAATGAGGAGGAAATGGTGGCCTCAGCCTTGGAGACGGTTTCAGAAAAGGGATCCCTAACATCAGAAGAGTTTGCTAAGCTCATGGGAATGTCTGTCCTCCTGGCTAAAGAAAGGTTGCTTCTTGCAGAGAAGATGGGCCATCTTTGCCAAGATGATTCAGTGGAAGGCTTGTGGTTTTACCCAAATTTATTTATGACACAAAGCTGAGAATTTTGTATTTGAAATATTTCTTGTCCATATCTCCACATCGTGTAGAGGCTGTATGACATTGATCTAGGAGTAAACCCTGAGAAACTGAGAACTTAGTGGCATTTCCCAGAATGATATAGAACCCATTTAATTTCTGCCTAAATACTATGATCCAGGAAGATTCCTTAGGAAAATACAGAAAAATGAATGCCAATATGAATTTGAATTCATGTTACATCTATATAGCAACCCTCAGGGTTTAACTTGATCTTCAAATCTGACCATTTTTTAAAGAAGAGAATTTAGTTCACCAGGGATGTATATATTTGGACAGGTTAGATCATTATTCTGGTGTGACTAAAATTCACTAAATTATAAACGAAGTTTTTCTCAGTGTTTAATGGGCCCATATGGGTTTTTTTGTGTGTGAAACAATTTATACCTACAGTGTAGTTTAAGAACCTGACAACACTGGAACAAAATATCAAACTGTAGAATGTCATTTGAGACTCTTCCTAAGGGCTTTTAGAAGCATACATAAGCATGTCTTCAACAGACTAAATAAAACACCTTAAAAAAGAAAAGAAAAAAAAAGAATGGACTAAATCATGGGGATGTAATATACAGCATGGGGACTATAGTTAATATTACTGTATTGCATATTTGAAAGTTGCTAAGAGAGTAGATTTTTAAAATCCTCATTGTGAGAAAGTAATTCTTTCTAACTATGTATGGCAACAGATATTAACTAGACTTACTGTATGGTTATTTTGCAATATGTACAAATATTGAATCATTATGCTGTACACCTGAAACTAACATATGTCATATGCCAAATATACTTCAATTAAAAAAAGGTGGGGGTGGGTATAGCTCAATGGTAGAGCACATGCTTAGCATGCATAGGGTCCTGAGTTCAATCCCCAGTACCTCCGTTAAAAAAAAGAGATGGATTAAGCAGGATTTCAGAAGGTAGAATGGGCAGGACTTGGACACTAGACGGGAGCACAAGGGAGTGTGAAGAGTCAAGGTGGGGTCCAGATTTCAAGCTTAGAGGAGGTGACTAGATGGATGGAGACATCAACCACTGACCTAGGGAGTTACAGGAATACAGCTGGGGCAAAGATGGGAAATATGTTCAGTTTTTTTAAAAAATATTTTTTATTGTGACAGCCTTCAAACATACAGAAAAAGAAAAAGGAAAAAACAACCAATACACCTAGATTCAATATGTGTTAACATTTTGTTATATCTGCTTCATAGGCGAAGTTTTTTTTTCTGAACAATTTCAAAGTGAGTTGCAGATATTCTGATACTTCTCACCTAAACACTTAGCAAACTTCTCCAAAACATGAGGACATTCTCCTACATAACCACAGTACCACCTAATAATAATTCCTTAACATCTAATGTTCTTTCCATACTCGAATTTCCCCAAAATGTCTTTATAGATGATTTTTCTGAACTATAATCAAATTTCACCTTGTGCATTGGTCCTTGTATCTCTTACATCTCTGACAGCCTAGAATGCCCCACCTCATGTTTTCAATGAATTTTGACTTTTGAAATGACTGGGCCAGTTATATTTTTGAGGTGGGGGGGTGGTGAGGAGGTAATTAGGTTTATTTATTTATTAAAAAATTTTTTAAATGAAGATAGTGGGGATTGAACCCAGGACCTTGTGCATGCTAAGCATGCACTCTACAACTGAGCTATACCTTACCCCCAAACCAGTTATCTTGAGAATCCCCCGTGTTCTGCATTTGGCTGACGCTTCTTCATCACCTGTTCCTCTGCCACCTGTATTTCCTGTAAGCTGGACATAAGTTCAGAGGCTTGATAACATTTGGGTTAAAGTTCTTGCAAGAATACTTTAAAGTAAGGCAGGTGCTGGTGTTGCGGCCTGTTAGGTTCGGAGAGCCTGAAGGACCTCAGGGCAGATGTCTTGCTAGTGGTTGTATATATATGTGGTTTGAAGACCTGGAGGAAGAGCCAGGTGAGGGAGAATACCTTAAGGGTTATCATAGAGGAGGTGAGACCTGATGCCTTTGGTGGGGGTGGGAGGGGTGGTGAGAAAACCCAGGAAATCTCAGAATTCCAGGGAGTTTTCCAGAGGAGTCAGTGACAAGACAGGACCAATAAGATGACCACCTGAGGCCTGACAGTCAACAAAAGCCCTGTCCTGCTTCCCCCAAAGCCTGGCCCCTTGCCTGGAGAGTCAGCTGACATGTCTAGAGCTCATAACAAGCACCCCAGGGAGACCTGCAGAGGCCTTAGATGACAGGGCATCTCGGGGTTTTTATAGTAGCCAATAGGAGGATGCAATTGATTTCAGAAGGTCTATCTATTTAGTCATATTAATGAGCCTAAGGCCATTATGAGACCAGAAACTCTTCACTGGAGTGGGGGATGCGGTCCTCACGGTGGTGGCATCCAGCCCTGCCCAGCCCGGGAGGCAGCCAGGGACTTAGGGCTATGATGGGCTCTGGATCTCCAGGCTGGGCAGGGACTGAAGCTAAACCGTAGTAAGAGAGGTCCCTGCTGCCTTCTGCACACCAGGCCTGTGGCAATGAGGGATCAGAAATACCCTTGGAACACCTAGTCAGCTGTGCTGTGGCCTGGAACCCCTTGCAAGGTACGGACCTGCCTGCAAATCCAGGCTCATTCTATACCCTGTTCCCTTCCCTCTCTACCCTTCAGCCATACTGGCCTGCTCTGGTTCTTGGATGCAGAAGACCTTGCCCGTTAGCCGTAGCCCTCTCCATAGTTCTATGTGGTGGGTCTTCAGTGTGCCAGCTGCCTGTGGTGGTGTCTGGGAGGTAGCACACAATGAAGTTATGGGCATGGACTCTGACTCAAAAGATCTTGTCTGAACCCCTAGCTCTATCACTTAATAGCTGTGTGACCTTAGGCAAGTTACAGAACCTCTCTGTGGCTGCGCACCCTCTCTGTAAACTGGGGTTGTTGATAGTTAATATGAGCTTCCAATAGTGCTTGGCACCTGGTGAGTCTTGCAGTTGTTACAGTCACAATTACTGTTCTCATGCAGCTCAGCTATCAAGATCTGCCTGAGCTCAAAGAGCTAGTACTTGGCAGCCTTCTGAGATGTTTCTCCAGTACATCACTGTTGCATTTAAATATCCCCACCTAACTGCTGAGATTTTCCCTGCATAAATCCCATAACTTTGTATCCTCTGTCCTGCTACTGTTTCTGTAGGTTCAATTTACCCTAGTCAGATTAAGTAAAGGGATCGTGGAGTTGGAAGCCTAAAAAAGCGTAACAGGCACTTTACTGTTGACAAGCAATTTACATTCTAGTAAGAAAACAGGAACAAAAAGGAGGATTAACACGAGGCCGTGTGTAATGAGGCTTGTGAGTTCTTGAAGGGTAGGAATATCAGCAATTGTCAAAAATAGAACCAGTGTTTTGGGGAGCTCACCGTGTCCCAGGCACTGGGCTTTACAATCCTCACAAAAACACCACAGTAGATATTAGTAGTCCCACTTTACAATGTTAAACACCTGCCGTAGGCCACGCGATGACTGGAATCTTGGTTCTGTCTTCCTCTAAATCACCACTTCGGCCCAGTCAAGACAGAGGGACAGGGTGAACACACCCCGGCTGAGCCGCAGAAGCCGGCGAGAGAGGAGGTTTGGCAAAAGGACTCGGGGTCGCCGCAGGCGGGTGGGTGGGCAGGAACCGGGCGGGGCTGGGAGAGGCCCGGCCTCAGCCTCTGAGTTCCGCAGGAGCAGAGAGCCGCCGGACGCACGCGGCCGGCACCCGGAGCCGCCCCGCCGCAGCTCGGGCTTCCGCTCCGGGCCACACGTGGGGCCGCGTTCCTGGGAGGGCGCCTCTGATTGGCCGGGCCGGTCAGGTGGCTCCCGCGCGCCAATCAGCAGCGGCCAGGCCGTGGGCCGCGCGCTCCGCCCTGCCCGCGTGGACCCTCGGAAACGGCGATCTCGTGCGCTGGGCCGCGCCGGGAAAAGGCCGCCAAGGCGTAGTAATGCCCGCCATGCCCCAGAGCCAGCCGGCGACTGTACTGGCCCTTTACGCCTATTTATCTGAATTCGCCATCAGCCCTGCCCCATCTCTCAGAGGAAGAAAAGCGGGCTGGGCCGGCCTTCCTCTTGGGCTCTGTGTCCCGCCGCCGTAAGGCTTCCTCCCGCTTTTGTGCATCTTTCCCCTTTCGCACCTCTAGAGCTCCAAGCCTTCCTTTCTCCAAGCCTCCCCCTTTCCGGCAGCCCACAAATGGTGTAGCCTCTCCCGCGGTAAGAGAAAGATCTCAGGCCTCCACATCCCGGCTCTGCCTCTTCTCCCCTCCGCTGCCCTTGGCCTCCCTTTCTCACTCCTTCCTCATCCCAGTTCAGCCAGGCTTTGGATCACCAACAGTCCCACTCTGGCCAAATCTGGTGGCTTTTCATAATCTGTGCTGTTTCACTTTGCAGCATTTGACCCTGTTGACGCTTTGGAACCAAGATTTCCAGGAGGTTTGGTCCCCTCCTGCCTGTTTACCAGCCCTCTGAGCAGCCTTGCCATGGGCTTGCCTCTCCTTTTTCCCGTCTGGCAGACAGAGGCCCACTTTGGTTTTTTGTTGTTGTTGTTAGGCTTTCAGTAGAGGCCCGCTTTGTTGATTGTTTACCCGGACTTCCTGAGGGATCTCATCTCATCACTGGCCTCCCCTAAATGCCAGTAATTTCTGAGCCTTGATCTCTACCTTAGATTTGTCGTAGAACTCCAAACTCACTACTTGCGTGTCTTGTGGGTACCTAAGGCTGAAGGTAGGTGTTTCATTCAACAAATATTTATTAGGCTGTGGGCTCATTTACAGTATAATTATTTAAAACATATCCTCATAAACATACCAGTATTTATTGCTGGGTGCCAAAAGGTTGGGAGTACTGTGTCACCTGTGACTAGCACCCAGTGGGTGCTTCATTCCCGTGGGCTGAATTCATGTAGGAATGAGTGTCGGCATAGTGCCTGGCATGGAGGCGGTGCCCCAAGTTCGTTGCCTCATCCCTCAGCCCAGCTTCTCTCTACCCCAGGGTTGGGAGCTGTCCCATCACCTCACCTCCAGTGCAAAAGCTATATAAGTGAGGTAAACGAGAGAAAAAGCCGAAATGAAAAGTCCTCCTTGTCCTGTCTAATATTCTACTCCCAGGGAAGTCTAATCTGCCAGCTCCACGAAGGCAGCACTGCCCAGTGATGAGGCAGGAGAGAGAACCAGGATCCAAGGACAGGCAGCTGCTGCAGCCAGAATGGGAGACATATAGACCAGGGTTCAAATCCTGGTTGGGTGACCTTGTGGATCCTATTAGACTCCCGTGAGCCCACAGTTCCACCTGTAAGTTGGACATATGAATAGACTCTACCTCACAGAGATTTGTAGTATTCTCCTAGAGCTCTTAGAGGCTCCCAGTAGGCATTGGCACTTGCCTGTTGTTTTGGCTGAAAGAGAGGGTGAAGAGGACTTTCCTGGTGCACTGTCGCCACCGTGTGACCATCTAGGAGATTACATAAGGGAGTTCTCTGGCCGAGAAAGGGCTGCTTGACTTTAGTTTTCTGAAACCTGGAAATCTGCTCTGCTGTCCAGGCTCCCTCCGGCCTCCAAGGCCAGTACTGTCACCTGTGGAGGAGAAATCATCCCACCCTTGGGTTTAGGGCACTGTCTGTGTCTTCTCTGACTCTTGAACTTTTGGTGGTTCCTCACTGTGGCATTCAAGGCTTTTCAGACCTGGTGCCCTAGACATCTGCTCTGTGCTTGGAACTCAGGGCCACCCAGCTCCAAACCTGCCTCAAGATGCTCTCTCGGTTTTCTCCTCCGCTTCCATCCCTCCTGAGCCCCCTGTCTCCTCTCCCTGACTCAGGACCCTAAAGTTCTCTCCCCAGTGAGTGTGTTAAGTGAACAGCCATCATTTATTGATCTCCTGTGTGCCTAGTGCCGTGTCAGGCTCCTTATGGGCATTTATTCCATAGACTCTTTACTGATCCTGCCAGGCAGGCTGCTGTGATTGCCCCCATTTTGTAGAAGAGGACACCGAGGCAGAGAAAGGTGAAGTGACCCACCCAAAGTCACACAGCCTTCAGGTGACAGAGTCCTTACCTATAACTTCTAGGATACCAAGTACGGTGGAAGAGGCAGACAGACCTCTGTTTGAATCCCATCTCTGCCACTCACTACTGGCATCCCCACTCGGAGCCTAGGCTTCCTGTCTGCCTCTAAAATGAGATGGCAGCTCCCACAAGGCACAGGTGCCGGCTCCGGGAGCAGGCAGTGTTCACCAGGGATGAAAAGTGGGGAGGGCGTCGCAGCCGGCAGTCAGAGCTGGTCTGCAGCACGCTGCGGTAAGTTGGGGTCCCGTCAGGGAGGCTAGAGCCAATGACTGGGAGCCCCAGCTCAGGACCCGGCCGGCAAGAAGTAGGGGCTCAGGGCTCCAAGCCCCCAAGAGCCCTCACCTGTAGAGCCCCTCCCTATTCTCCCCACACCCGCTTTAGCCTCTTCAGTGCTTGCCCACTCAGCAGCCTCGTGTGGGCCTTTCCACACACACATCTGATCATGACCTTTGCTGCTGCAAATCTTTTTTTTTTAATATTTTTTGAGGAGGAGGAGTAATTAGATTTATTTATTTATTTTTAGAGGAGGTACTGTGGACCTCACCCGTGCTCACTAAGCATGCGCTGTGCCCCTTGAGCTATCCTCGCCCCTGCTGCTGCCGCAGCCCTGTCCTCATGCTGCTCACTGGGGACTCAGTCCCTCCCCAGTGCCCGAGAGCCACGTGCAGTCTGTGGCCATAGCCCTGCCAGCTCCGTCACCTTCTCTGGTCTCTGGCCCCCTCCCTTGTCCTTGAAGCCACCTTAGAACTTTGCACATGCTGTCCCCATGGACTGAAACATTCTTCCCTCCCCTCTTTGCCTAGTTAATGCAGAGGTGCTGAAAAGTCTCCTTGGGAGGTGATGGGAATGGGAAATTTGAGACCTGAAAGAGGAGTAGAGTTTGGAGAACCCATAGGGAGGGGATAGTGTTCCAGAAAGAGAGAACTACGGAGGTAAAGGGATGGAGGTGCATGTGGGGAGGGAGTGGGACAGGTAGGGACTGAAACTAATAGGAACGAGGCGAGGCCAGGGGCAGAGCCTCATGCGCTGTGCTGAGGTGCTGTGCCATGGAGCTTGGCCCCAATCCCGAGGGCAGTGGGAGGGTTTCGAGCAGGCATAGTTACAGCGAGTCCCCTGGGTAAGGTGGAGAGGGCGTATCAGCTCTGCTATGAAGAATGGAGCACCCAGAACTGACCATTCCTCCAGGAACGACCTGATCACCACCTACAAGGAAAGACCCTTCACCGGATCCCTGCCTGAAACCTCTGTGGGCCCAGCCCAAGGCCCCAGCCCCACCCCAAGAGAGGCTGAAGTGGGATGCTACACTTCTTGTAGCCACCAGGAGGTGGCACCATCACCCCAGCGTGTCCCCCTCCACTCTGCTCCCTGAGCTGGAGACCCCTCCAGGGCATAATTATAGGGAAGAGGCCCGAGAGGAAAGAAGAGGTGAGTGAAGAGAGGAGGAAGTGGGGGGACCGAGGGACGGGGCCCAGGGTGGTTGCGACACAAGGCATAGGATGGGGGAGTTCGGGTAGTGCTGCCTCCCTGCTGATTTTTTTCAGGGTCAAGCAGTGTGCGTCAGTCTGACTTAAGATTTGCACCATTGTGTGCCCCACCCTCCTCCATGCGGCCCCTCCTCAGGTCCCTGAAACTCTCATGGAGACCCTGCCTGTTCTCCGCTCCTGGCCGTAACCCAAGAACCTCCAAGTTCTCTACCACCTGCCTCTCCCTCCTGCCCCCATTAGCAAGCCCTCTTATTCTAAAGATGCCCTTCAATTTCCACTTGCCCCCATGG